CCCCACCCCTCAAATCTTCATGTCAATGAACCCTCAGCCTCATCTCGGGAGGCCTCAGCAGAACAAGCCCCATAACACCACCCCACCGCAACCCGTAACTTGCCCCACACGGCCACCACCACCCCAGCCATGGCCCTCTGCACCGCCGTCGAGGAGAAGTAGAAGATGACGGGGTCGAGAGCGGCGTTGAGGCTGGTGAGGAGCAAAGCGTAGACCCTCCAATCCGGACTCCGTTTCTCTATGAAGCCCACCACGTGCGAGATGTTGTAGGGCGCGAAGCACACCCCAAAGTTGACCATGGTGGCCACGGCCAAGCCCACAGCCCGTTGTTTCCTTTCCAGAGGGATATTTGGTCGGGCGAGGAGGACCCGCACAAAGTTGATGTAGCAGAAGACGGTGACAGTGAAGGGCAGGAGGAAGAGGACGAGGAAGAGCTCCAGGCGTAGCGGGAGGACAAAGCTCAGCTGGTCTTCAGAGAAGTCATCGTAGCACTTGTAGATGGTGGTGGTGTTGGGGCAATCATGGATGTTGGAGGGCTGGGAGATGTCCTGGAGGTTGGCACCGTTGGCGGTGGAGATTTTGGGGTTGGAGGCCTTGGGGGTGCTGGGGTTGGAGAACCTGGAGCTGTTGTGGGGGGAGATGTTGCTGTCGGTGGTCTTGGAGCCATGGGGGATGAAACTGTTGTCCGTGGAGTCACCAGGGTTGGAGGTCTTGAAGACCTTGGAATTGATGACGTCAGGGCTGGAGATCTTAGAGCTGCTGAGGTTAAAGTCATCAGGACTGGTGATGGTCAAGCCGTTGAGGTCAAAGCCATCAGCGTTGGACATCTCGGAGCTACCAGGCTTGAACCCATTGGCTGTGGAGTCATCAGAGTTGACGACCGTGGACCTATTGGTTGTAGGCCAGTTCTTCCCACCATAGTACTGGGCCACAAAGACGACGGAGCAATGGGAACAGGCCAAGAGCCAAAGGACAACGCTGGCGGCCATCGCCCGCCCTGGTCTTCTCCGGTCCTTGTACTGGAGGGGGAAGACGACGCCAAGGTAGCGCTCAACGCTGAGGGCCGCCAAGAAG